AAAAAAAAAAAAAAAATACAGAAGATAGTTACTGGGAACTAATAAGCTTTCTTTTTTTGAGAGCATTGATATCCTCGGCGCCGATCACCTGTGGTTCCATTGGTGCATTAGTTGTAAAATGAAGGAGCGAAGATACTAAAACACCAAATGTGTAAAGATAAATCATTTAGTTAATGAACTTACAAGAAGAACATTGATAAGCACTGATACAAAACATTGGTAACCATAGATATGTCAATAAAGTTATAACAAAGATATTAATTTCCATTAATAGTGTTGCGTATCAATGCCACTTGGATCACAAGGAATACTTGGGCATATTTGCCTGGAGTTAGGCTGAGATGCCTGGGCTAGACCCTCTTGTCGCCTAGAAGCATTTTTTGACTAGTTTAAGTAAAATTTGTTATAATGGGTTTGACATTGCAACAAAAACTACATGTTTTTTTCTATTTTCTTTAAAGCTGCCTCAGATAGGTACAGTAGCTGATGTAACTTACATTCAAGCAAACAAGCATACACACCATAAAAGAAGTGTTCATTAAGCAAGTCTTCATTTGCCATTCAAAAAAAAAAAAAGTGTTCATTTTCCATTCAAAGTATATTGCATACCTCACCACTCTGGATTTGTATAAGCAAGTCTTTTACGCTGTCATTAACATGGTCAACCTATATCAAAGCACTTTAAGTTAGGAAATATAGCTATATGGCTACAATTTGACAAATGTACAAGGACCAAATTTGGAGACAGTACTTAACTATTTAACCGAAATTATTACATAGCAAGATAAGAGGCCATGGGCTTACATAAAATTGCATTCCATACGGATAACCAAGCAACAAATAGCTTGGCCCATTTTAGAAACTCTTTCTATAAGAAAATCCAGATAAATTTAAATTGCAGCCTTAAAAGCATCTACAGAGCTAAGTCCAATCTGTGTTACCTTTCTCAAAACTTGTGACTTCCCCATTTCTATCCATTTATTCTTTATGGCCTGTGTGCTGCCTATTTTGTAAATTGATGTCTTCAACTTTTCCTGTGCCCAAAAAATTGAAATAACCAGTATGTTATCCAAATTAGATTTAGCCAAAAAAAAAAAAAAAAAAAAAAAAA